ATTGTTTTAGCAACCTAAAACATGAACAAACTGCCATGGTTAAATATTATCATGCTAATATGAACTTGGAATGACGGAATTACTTTTTAACAAGTAGTTACATGAGCTGGTGAAGATTTAAGATACAGATGTGAGGTTTGCACTGACTGTGGGCTATATGTTGTGTGTTGTTTTTGTCCCCATATAAGGACTAAATGTATGCTGTATGTAGTTTTTCTGTAACCATTGGTACCCTTTAAGCAGTAGAAAATGCAAGCCTGATAAAGGTGACCCATACCGAACCATACAGCACTGTACCACTCTATAAGGACCAGCATAGGACCAGCTCACGTAAGATGGAAAGGTAAGAAGGAAAGGTCAGCAAGCCATGATGCCTTTTAATGCCTTGACATTTAATTTACACCAGGAAGAGGATCTCAAACTGTAAGGTTTCCAACAGTGGTCATTTCAGCACAATCCATGAGTGCCAACTTTGTTGAAAGCCTCAAAAGATTTTCTCGCAATCTTATTCCAAAGTCATGCAAAAACTAAAGAAGTACTCTTAGAGTCTGCATAAGGCAATTCCCGGCCTCTCTCATCCATTGATGTATGAATGGCCCGGTGCTTTACTCTCACTGCAGTGTGTCCACACAAACTTTGAGTGCACTGACAGCTTTCCTCCTTTCCAGTCAGGGTGAATTAGCATCACAACTGTCCCTAAGTGCAATCCCACACGTTAGCGCATCAGCTTGAACCAGCAGGTCTGGCACTGAATAAACACAGCTGAAGTGCTTCACCAGCACTTCACACACATACACACCTCACACATTCACAGACAGTCTAGCACCCACAAGGCTGGACTATGGGTTGGGCTGTCCATAAAAGATAAAAGAACACTTCACCATCCATCCAGAAAGACTTCATGAAACATCTCCACCCCCAAAGACAGAGTAGAAGAATCCCTGTGGGAAACCTGTTAAGCTGAAGTAACTAACACCTTATAACGGTTGTGCATACTGCATAATTAATTAGGTTACCTGTTTTAAACATATTCACAGTTTACAAGAACCTATCCTTTGAAAGCGACAATTTGGTCAATCAATACATTTATGAAGGCTTAGTATTCAGTTCATTAATCCACAGCAACAGAGCAAATACGTTACTCATATAGGACCCTATTTCAAGTGTGCTATCATGTAAACAGTAACTAGATGAAAAATAAATGACAGTCTGACCGTGAACAAAAGAGACAGTGGGGGCTTGGGAAAGGTCATGTCTAAGTTCAGCATGATTGGACATGTTTGGAAAGAGCTAAAATTCAGTGAAAGGCGATTGTATTGAATCCTCTTTCCTACAAATCCCTGCTTTCAAACTATTCAAAGACCAGAAAGATAATTAGGTATCCTCAGTTGTCTTCAAGGTGGACTCCAATAATTTTACTTCAACGACCGTGTACAATGAACAGGAACAAAAAAAGCTAATGAAAAAAATTGAGGACTCCAGGGCTCAGAAAACAGCTTGTACTAAATAAGCAATAAACATCTTTATCAAGTAGGCATAGGCCGGTATAAGATTCTGACGATATGATAACCTTGGACAAAAATATCAAGATTTCACAGTATTGTGATTACTGCTCAAAAATATATTATTTTTAATCATCTTGGTAAAAAAAAAAATCTGAATATAATTTATTTTAAGAAACTTTTCAAATATTTTGAAGCAGTAAACATGTCAGGCTAAATAATTCAAATCAATTATTGACTTCTGCTGTCATCATTTGTTTCAAAAACACTGATTTCTTTACAATTTAAAACCACATCTTTGGATATATTATCTGCTGGAGATACTGCTGACCTAAAAAAAGAAACCAAAAAAATTTAAATAAAATATTTACAGCATTAAATTTTTTACTGTTTTAAAACCTTGACTGTTCCAAACCGCGGTATACCCTAAAAACGGTTATCATCCCATGCCTATTATCAAGTTGTACATCATGATAAGGGAGAAGCTTTGCCTCTTTTGTTTGTTGATTGGGATAATTGATTAATTCACAACATCAACATTTGTAACCTGAGGTTATTTAGTCAACTTAAAGTTATCTCTACCGGCAGGGATTGCTAACATACTAATTGTTAGCAAACAATGGCATCAGTTAACACAACCCAATAAAGAAGCATTGCATTTCTACTATCTGATTACCAGCTTCAACAACTTAAGCTGACAAGTCAATCATTGAGTTGAAGCTAGTGAACCAACCAGAATTCAGTGCTAATGTGTCATAGGCTATGAATCATAAGAACAACTAAATATGCCAAAATATTTCATCCATTAATTTATTTTCTTTTATGATTATTCCCTACAGCGGAATAAACCGCTAACTTCTCCAGCATATGTTTTACTTATCGAATGCCCTTCCAGCAGCAACCCAGCAGTGGGAAAAACTTATACACTCTAGCATTCACACACACTCATACCTTACAGCCAATTTAGCTTATTCAATTCACCTATAGCGCATGTCTTTGGACTGTGGGGGAAACCACAACACCTGGAGGAAACCCATGCGAATATGAGGAGAACATGCACACTCCACACAGAAATGACAACTGAGCCAGCGGGGGCTTGAACCAGCGACCTTCTTGCTGTGAGGCGACAACGTTACCCACTGTGCCACTGTGTCGCCCTGCCAGAATATTTAATTCATCAATAGTCTGTTAAACAGTATTATTAAAGATTTCTAAATATTGTATTGTCATACTGGATCTACTTCTCAATGACTTTGACTGGCCCTGCCAGTCAAAACAGATCTAGAAAGCAGGATCAGCCAAGGGGGCTGGCTTGAACCTGTCACCAGCTAAAAGTAATGGTAACCCAACGGAAGCCCAAGGATGTGCATTTATCAAGATTGGAAAAGCAACTCTGAACTTGCACAGCCATGCAGGCCTGCAACTTGATCTGGTGGAGTTCTGACCTCTGAACCGGACATTGCAAAACGCCACCCCAGTATCTCCACCAGTAATCTGCTTTCACAAACTGAAGATGTTTCCACTGTGGCACTAATTCATATGCCATTCTGGAGGAGCTCATGTACAAGATTTTCAATCAACATAATACAGCATAAAAAACTAAACTAATACACAAAATAACAAGCATTTCATTACTGCAATGATGTGTGCTTTTTTAAAGTTGGATGGAAACGTTTGATCTTGCCGTTAATCTGAGGCCAGACAATCCACTGGAAGCAAGTGATAACAACAATTGAAGAGCACTCAGTAATTAAAAACTTTAAATGAAGCAGGATTTACTGAGTAAATCCCTCTATTCCTGATTTAAAGGCTTGGACCGCCTGTTCTTCGTTTAACAACAGAATCCCTCTCCATCTGCTATTTTATGCACTGTTTAACAGAAAGCAAGAGGACTAGTTCAAGCAAATCGGGCTTTCATCAACTCAGTAACCTAATGGATGGCATGTACCGACTGCGGGGGTTCTCATCCACATAACCATTGATTTTACTTTTGGACCGACATTCTCGCCACACAAAACCTCTCTAAGCAACTGCCTCCTCGGCCTTTCGCAGCACAAGGGTTAGCTGCGGATCAGCAGAGGGATGAATGGGTTCTCATTTGTACTTAATCCAAAGCTCCTCATCAAGCGGAGATGACATGGAAGGGTTAAAGTCCTCTGTGACTCGTTCTTTTTCACTCTGACAAAGAAAGGGAGAGTGAAAGAGGCAGAGTGACAGAATGAGAGAGCCCCCTTTTTTTCTCGGACATTTCCTTTTTCTTATGTACATTTAAGCACAAAATCCGAAGGGACACACAGGTCTTGTTTGGCGTCCTGTATATGTGAAATAGGGGCACCTTTAAGACCACCGAGAGAATCATTTAGAGTTTGGGCCATCGTTCAAAAAAGGAGCTTCAAAAGAAAGGGGGAGTAGATCAAAGAGTCCCTGCAGTCTATTCAGATGCAATTGCTCCCAAATCACATTGTGTTGTCACACAGTTTTAAAAGAATGGGTCACTGCTGCTTTATTGTTGAGAAGCTACCACTAATGAAAAGGACAATGCAAAGATTAGCGCTGCCAGCCAAGCGCCTGAAACCTCGCTCTGTCTTTAATTGTAGAGAACAAGGAAGGCAGGAAAGCAGGGCAAACATAGAACAAAAGAGCAGGCAGCAGAGACAAAACCGTCAGCACAACTCTGGGTATGATTTTACAGTAGCCCACCATCCGGAAGGTGTGACATGATCCTCTGTGAATGAAAACATAAACCAATAACCAAGACTTGTCAAACAAAGCTCAATGCACAGCTCTGCCACACACAAATCATGCCTCTGTGTTGGTTTCATTCAGTGCTTCAGTGATCTTGTTTTACTAAGCTCTTCGTGCACACTTCATATGTTCTTTATTTATTACACTATATGCATAGAAGCACACTATATACTTCCTAAGCACCCAGAAGCACATTAACTGTAACTCAAATATGTTTGCACAATACTTGACATTTACATCTATTGACATATACAGCTACTTAAAATATATCCATGTAATTAATAAGTAAATTAACAATGTGAGAATGTAAATATGTCCTTTTTTCTAAAACCAAACTGACAAAGTTATACAAATGCATACAGTACTAAGCAGTAATTCAATATAAAGGGCAACACAAATGTTTTATACTAAACAAAAAAATAGAACACTTATTATTGTATATTACTTGAAATAAAATACAAAATAACAGTAAGTTTTAACCAAACTACAGGTGGAAATATGCTGATACATTTTAAAATGTTTACAAACCAAAATGTTCAAATATATTTAAGATACGCTTACCATAGACTTTATAACAGCCCTAACTGAACACCTCAACCCCTAATTAACCCTCATCTGAAAATCTTGAGGAAACCCACTGAAGAATATTCTTCAGCATTCAATCAAACTGCATTTAATTCATATTGAAAATGTGTATGTAGGTTTTAATGATCTGATTTCAGTGAATGTTTTAGTGTAAAAGCAGACACTTACCAAACCTGTACAGGTGGATAAAGCCACAGATGAATCAGAATGGTTTCGTATGGAACCTTGATAGAAACAGTTATGAATAGAGGGGTCAAGTGTTGCTGTATTGATGCCCTCTGCACCCAGTGTCTGTACGGTAAACCCCTCTGCCAGCACGTGGGATGGCTGGAGGTCTAAATGTAGTTCCTTGCCAAAAGCAGAGACATGATAGTGCACTAAACTGCCAGCTTCTGACAGAGACCTTCGACTCCGTCCATGTCTTGACACATCATGCGAAATGTAGCCTCCATAGGAGTCCACTTCCACTGGTGTGGCAAAATCATAATCTGTGGGTGAAACAAACACAGTTTAAATCACACGAGTCAACATCAGTCTTTCACTGGTCAATTGCAGTGGTCTAATATAACAGTAATGAGTCTTTAAAGGAGTTTTGTAGCTTTTCTTGATGTTTGTTAGATTTTTGGTTTCGTTTATTTGTGTAGTCTTTATTTATTTTTTGAGAAAAACATCCACCAAATACATCGATGACTCATTCTGCACTACACACATTTTTGTCCAATCAAATTCTCCCTAATGAGGTTGTCACTCGGTATAATAAAAACAGGGCGTTAATAAAAACATGGGTGTTTCCCAGTGATGGGTTGCAGCTGGAAAGGCATCCACTGCGGAAAACATATGCTAAGTAAGTTAGCGGTTTATTCCACTGTGGCGAACACTAATTAATAAAGGGACTTGGCCAAAAAGAAAATGAATGAATGTATATTTTTAAAGCACTAGACCTTATGTTTCAACATAACTAAAAATTGTTCTTAGTCAGTACAAAAGGTTTCAATAAAGGAATACTACTCAGGCCATTTCATGGGGTCTTGTCAAAATCTGCAAGCTACCTGCATATTTCTGCATTTTGTACATTATATTTATAAGCGATGTCCATTCTACCCTGCAGTAGATGTGAAAAGATGAAACTAAACTTACATTAAATCTAGCTTGAATATATAAACAAAACATTTAACCAAAATCTCCAGAGTATGTGTTTCCCAAACTTTTGATTGGCAATGTAAATATTAATTAAAAAGACAATAAATGATCTGTGACTAACTTCAAGTACGCGGCAGAGAAGAGATGAGGGAATCCCTTTAATGCTCCCACACATACAACAGTACACACTACACAGGCTAGCGCACGACCACCGGCACGGGAAGCACTCATCTTGGGAGCTTTTAGGCTGTGTTGTAAACCCTTTAATTCACTGAAACTTAATGTGGTGCTTCGGTGTATTTATATTTGTGTACAGGTAGCCTGTATCCAAGGAAGGCAGGTACGGCTTTTTGTTTTAACCCGTGCGCGGAAGCATGCATTGACAATTCGGCATCAATCATATGTTGTCATCATTTGCAACGGAAATACAACTGCAGTGCGTAAAGACACAAACCTTGATACAGTCCGCCGGTGTCTCCGGTAAACGAGACCGATGCCACAGAGTGTAAACAACAGAACTGCACAGCCTGCAAAGCGCAAAGAACTCACCACAATTAACTTGGTAAATGATACTGAGTGCAAAATGATAAATAAATAGCTGTCAACATGTCACCTGCCTTTAGAAAGTTTCCAAACGACACACTTGCCAGCGATCTAAATGATGTGCAGGTTACCAGTGGGACTTGTAAACTCCAAAGCAAAAGGAAAAGGCAATCCATGTTGGTATGCATGCACCTTTGCCGTTAACTCTTCAAAAACGTGACAAGCAACAGTCCGTAAATCCATGCAATGCAATATGGAGACATTGCTAATTGTCTAATAGTCCCGTTTCTGTCGCTCCTCAAGTAAAATCCACCGGGTCCATTTGGCTAATGCGCGCTCCCTCTGTTTGCAAGCACAGGTACACGCAGAACTGCTGACTCCAGAGTGGTGACAGTCGGCGCGTATGCGTGTGTGTGCGTATGTGTGTGCGTCTGTGTATACTAGGGATAGTGGCACCGGCTGATGGGCAAAGAGTGGAGGTTTAAGTTTGGACCAATCAGCGACGAGCATCTGCCGGCGATTCAGTGTATAAGCGCTCCTCACTGTCCGACGGTCCGCGCGTGCACAGATCACAGAGTTCATTGAAATGAGAAGCATGTTCACAGAACCGTCCGAGCAAGTAAACACATGCTGTCGAAGGAGTTTATGTGTTTAATGTGGAGCTGAAGAGTAGTGAATGGGCTGAGGGATGATTTATGATACTGTATGCTGTACTGTATAATGAAGCGCTTTCACGTCAGGTCTTGTTCAAACTCTAATGTCATGAATCTCAAACCGCTGATTGCTGGGTGCTTTTGGTTTAATAATATGTGACAGCTTGTATCTGCTTTATTTATTTATTCGGCCTGTTTCCCGACATTCTACGTACGTAATATAACTTTTGAGTAAATTAGTTGGGACTCTCAGTAGTCTGAAGTCAGATTACAGAGTTGACATTCAACAGGACAATTCCTTTACTAACACCTCAAGTGAAGAATCAGACCTTGATTAGTTTGGTTTGATTATATTGAACACTGGTGTGATAGCTCTGTTTTAATGTGATTTATCTTAGTAAACTTCCAGAGCTGACAGACACCCCTGAAAAGATGCTTCGCCAACCTGATTTCACCATGTAGGACATGTTCCTGGATTAACATCTGATCCTGGAACAATATTCCAATCAGCCAATCAGAATTAAGAGATACATTTACAGTTTATGGTAAATTTAGGCTTACGGTTAGGTTTACGCACTTCTGAGTGTTATCCAACAATTATTTACCTCTGAACTTTGGAATAATTTACAGTTATGGTTGGGTTTAGGGGAAGGGAAAAGGTAAGGATTACATTTTCAAACAAAAATGATGTTCCAGGACCAACATAGAAGTTAATCCAGGATCGATTCGTACTTGGCAAAATCATGAAATGCAAAGACACTCACTTTCAAACAAAATCTGCTGTGATTCAAACACATCTTATTAAACAAAAACAGGGCATATCACAAATGAATGAATGCTTATATAAGCCTGGTTGTCTTAGCATATGGACAATGTTAAAAACTGATTTAAAGGGACGGTTCACCCAAAATTAAAACTTCTTTACTCACCCTCAAGTGGTTCCACAGCTTTATGATTTTCTTTTTTTCTGCTGAGCACAAAAGAAGATATTTGAAGAAATCTGCAAGCCTGTAACCATTGATTCCATAGTAGGAAAAACAAATAGCTACTATGGAAGTTGGTTACAGGTTTTGATTTTGGCCCACACCCTAAGAACCAAGAGAACCAGACCAGTGTGAACCCAGTCCATTCATTTGATAATTCTATTTATTCTGGAAAACAAAACACCAGAAAAACAGTCAATATTTAGTTTTACTGTTTAATTTTTAGGCACAAAAAAGCTAATAAGTTATCCTGTTTTTAACTCAAAAGAATTAAAACAAACACAAAACAAAAACGAAATAACGAGGCATTTATTTGTTTATTCGTTTGATCAAAAAATGAACACCAAAAAAACGAGATTTCAACGTGTGGGTGTGCACGAGACGGAGATGCCACGCTTTCTGCCGATTGGTCAAATAGCTATGAGGCTGTAGGATTTATATCAAACTTCGCTTATCAACTCATACATAAAACAGGTACATTTACACTTATAAATTACTTGCATATACTGGATGTTCAAAACAATATCTATGAAACTTACATATATACATAAACTTGATACATACATCCACATACATGTAAACTCGCTACCTGCAAACACACCTATACAAAATAGAATATAAATAGATAGAATAATCTACTGAACGGATGCTACACGAACAAATCCCTCCCTAAGAGTCTCAGGATTCAGACTATACAAGTCTTTGAGTTCAGATGGTGTTATATAATTTCCATTAACTCATAAGTCAAAAGTGCTTTCAAAATGTCTAGATTTTGAGTACAATAATTTTTGACTATTTAAAATGATCAAGCATATGCTTTCTCGTTCACTAGCTGTTCATTACCAACTTTTGAGTTAAATCATTTTTCACTTATTGCATGGTGCTATAAATTTTGCACTGTAGATTGAATATTAGTCCTAAATAACAATACCAATGTTAGTGTTAGTAGAAGGCCTTCATGAGACTGCAAGCAGGAAAAAATAAAGTCATGAAAATCTTTTTTAAGGTAATTGTTTAAGAGATTTATCAATTTCTCAATATTAATTAGTTATAGATTACTAACTTTAGGATAACCAAACCGCAGAGGAAAGTCTCACAGTCTTATTAAAACAAAAGCTGTCTACATTTGGGTGAATTTGAGTAATCTCATTTGTTTGATTGCTTTCCCTGTTCACTGGTTTATTATCTCATAAAACTACCTGATTTTCAAACTAAAATTTTATGAATCACATAAAAGTTAAAGTCACGGTTCAGCCAAAGCATAAAAGATCAATTCAAGACGTCATACAATGTGGATTAAAAGTATTTATTTTATTATTTTACTTAAAGAAAAAAACTCTCACTAGTTTCTGATTTGCTTCTAATGAACAGAGGAGGCCAAGATTCCCATGCTATACACAATATCAGCCATATGACAAGTAGCTCAAAGAAAGTCTCCATGTGAAAAGGATCATTCAGTGAACTTAATTGTACTTTACAATCCATTAGTTTCGAGCCTCATTTTGCAAAAAAGTCCTCCGAAAGAGTGTTGTCAGATGTTTTAGCAAATGTTGGCTTGGGGCTCAGATTGTCAAAGCCAAATGCATCAAACCCCAATGGAAGATGGTTTTTGCTTTGACTACATTGTTTAGCATGTGTTTGCGTGCCAATACTTTTTTCCCTGGCTTTAAAACTGTGCCCACTTAATGAAGTGGGCACAGACAGTCCAACGTACAACACCATAAAGCCATGCTGACATATGGGTTTATGTACACAGCATGTTAAATGGAGTGTCAAAAGCTTCACTCATAGATTTCTGTCCAAAATCAGGCTGTACGCAACCAACCAATGAGCAGTTAAACCCTGGAGGGGGGCAAAGATATAATCCCTGCCAATGCAAACTTCTGGAGTAAATGAAATGTCTCTTAAACCTGCATTGTCATCAATTCAGTTTTGCTTCATGCAAAACACTGGCGCTTATGATAGCTTAAAGCAACTTTCGCAATTTAACGTAATGCAATAGGCAGTGAGGTCATAACTGTGCATCTGACCTCATATTTGCTAGCATTTGTTCTTCTTCTTCTTGTTATACGGCCGTACACCATTTGTTTTATATTTGTTTGCGTCTTGTGAAGAAATAGCTTTTCCAGCAGGGGCTCCAGCTGGGAAGAAGTATGCCAGGTCAGGGTTGCCCGTATCTGCTCTTAATTTACCCCATACTGGGTTTTAAAGAACATAGTGCAGCACTGCAATTGTAATGTCTGAATGAAGCACATCTCTAAATAATGCGGGGTTCAATTTATCTATGCAGAAATACACAGCGCAGCCATTCATGTATTTAAAATCAGGTTTGTAAACAATCATTCATTGTACTGAAGGGGAAATTATAGAGCTGAACACGTTGGATTCTAAATAAAAACCTCAGAATCTTCCGACTTCCATTCTTTTTGGGAAGAAAACAAATGTTTATCCATAATATAGTCTACGTGGGCTGCATCTTTAGAAGTAAATGTGGTATCCAGACTAGGATGTGGATTGGGAGAGGTCATAAATCTTAATCCATGACAAGAATCAATACACCTTTGAGTGGCGGTTGCACCCACTATTTATTTGACTGTGTCACCGAAACCCCAAACAGTCTAGGAAATAACTAGGAAATAACTGCCTTTTAAGCCTGACCTGTTGACTTCTGCTTATACCCTGGAGAACATCCCTGATATCTGTTATCTAGTGACTTGAAGGCGTACAATTAGCGTTATCACAGACAAACACATTTAAAATAAATTAAAAATAAATATCAGTCTTTGTTTTCTGAAGGAGTAACTAAGGATCGGCATTTCAAGCTCTTGTGTCCACATGTGCTATGGGTCAAACATTGGCTAAATCGGTGCTGATGTGGCTGTTTACTGTCTGTTTAATGTTGTTTACTGTCTGTTTGCTATTCTCTGCAATTGTGCACCTGGCCCGAGAATATAGATTTCAAAACAGTGTCAGCAGTCTATAAATGATCAAGCATATTTCATAATGTTAGTATTGTTAAAGAGCCCGGTTTTAGAAAGACAGCTTGACATTGTCAGTGGAGCTCCTTGAAGTTCAGGGCAATGAAAATAAATAACTCCGATACTATCAACATGACATGGCCTAAAGACAAGGGTCAAATGCTCATCTAAATACATTCGGATAAATACAAATACAAGGGAGAGCGGTTTGTATATGCGGAGGTCTGTTTTGTAAGATCTGTTTGCTTAGTCTTTGTGTTTCTAGAGGCCTGCACGCATTCGTGTATGTCTGTGTGGGCATGGGGGGGGGGTCGGGGGGAGGTTAAAGAGAAAAAGACTGATATGTAAAATCTGATAAGAGTGTAGCTAATGACGCCTTAATCTAGGATAATGCCCCCTCCCCCATTCCCTTTTAAAAGCCATCAGTGTTGACCCATAAAACTGTAAGTGTCTCATTTCCATAATGGCTTTTTTCAATACATCTTTTGTACTGCTAAAACACTCTATTCACATTTATTCTAAATCAGAGAGGAAATTTTACTAGTTTATTTGATGAGGAAAGTGATACAAGAATGGAGACAGGTAGAATGTCATTTTGTTAAAATAATAGTGATTTACTGTACACTGTAATGTTAGAGAGAGAAAATTTTGATTGATGACAGCCCTGCCCCTTAAATTTTATAAACTTTACAATTTCGGTAATTAGATACTTATCAGTTTAATTAAGTTATAATTCCGGTAATTAGATTTTTATCAGACTAATTAAATTATAATTCTAGTAATTAAACTATAATATTAAATTAAATATTGTAATATTATTAATTAAATTTTAATCAAATTA